CCTTACCAGGAATAGGCAGGTTCTTATAATGACTTGGAGCATGTTGTGCGTTTTGTGCAGGAGCATCGCCCTACCCAGGTGTGCAGATAGATGAGGAGTTCTGCACCAAACTGAAGGAAGGCACACGCATGCGGGCCCCGGGGTACGCCACTCCAGAAATGTGAGTGCACTGGCCGTCTTGTGCCAAGCTCAGCGGCTCATGGCCCAAACTGGGTTTCATTAAAGCTGGTGGCCGAGAAGCACACACAGCACGCCACAGGTGCAAACTGAAAACTCACACATGCAGACAGCAGATGGGCATATCTATTTGCAGTGATGGGCGAAATTAAAAAAACTATCACTCCAACGTCTTTCGTTGTCTTGTGTAAGGAGAAATCAAGAATATTTCAGTTCATTGTCTAAAGCCATTATTCAGGCAGAGTGACTTTACTTACTTTTTGTGTAATCCTTTTGATTCAGTTTGAGCTTTGCAACAAACAACATGATTTTGTTTAGCACATTAAAAGTTCAAACACCTTTTCACCTTGAATATGTATTTTTAATTAGCTTTAAATGTCACATTTCCTTCCATTCCTTTGTAGACATGAACAGTAATACTTCAGATATTATCTGGGAACAATAAAAGGGTCCATGTTTAAGGTGTTGGCACAAGCAGAAAGAATGCCCTTCAGGGACAATATTGAATAACAAATGTGTTTTGTGTTAAGTATTATGCAAGAGCACTTTCAAAACTGTTTATGAGTTTCAAAGATGCTTTCTGCCCGGTAACACTGTCACCAAACCCTAACACAAGACCAGGTTAGTCCGATGATCACTAACATAAAAATAAATATCAAATTATGTTTATTCTTGGATTTATGAGGCTTTGCTGCAGTAAGATGTTGGTAAGTTCAGGCGTAGAAAGACAAGGTTTTCAGAAAGCTGCCTATGTGGTTACAGAGGTGTTCATACGGCTGCAAATTTAGAAAATAGCAGCATCTCATTCATGCTGTTTGGCAGTAATGTGTCCGCCCTTAAAAGAGAGAGCCTACCAGGCATGGTAAACTTGTATATTTTTCTAAATGTTCCCAGTGTGTTATTACCAGCAAGGACTTAAGCCCATCATTCCTCAATGGTTTGATGAAATCTACTTGTGGCTGTAGAAGGCATTTGTGTAAGACCACATTACAGTGTTAGATAATGTCATAATGTTAGATAAGGTTGAATAATCCCCTGGCACATGTCCTACGTGCTAATGTATTACTATACTGTATATCGAATGCTGTTACTTATTGTTAAATGTTTTGTCTGACACTTTAATGCAACACAACACTTTTTGGACAGCTGGACATTTTGCTAGAGCAGTCTGCTATGAAATACTTTTATCAAGGATACAACAGCTGTGCCCCCAGCTAGGATTTGAACCAGCAACCTTCCACTTACAGATCTAGAGCCCTAACTATTACTCTACACTGCTGTCTATTTAGTTACTTATCCAGGGTGACTTACAATATACATTTACATGATGTGTGATTTCTGTATCATGGGTAGAGATGTAGTAAAAGCAAACTAAACTTTTAAGCTTTCATAGAATCTGAGAGATTCTATGCTTCTGATACCGAAGCTCTATCCTACAGTTCTGCAGGTCCTTCACACAAAGAGCACGGGGTCATGTCACATTGTAGAGTTTCAGAATTGGCTGGAGATGACAATTTGGGAGCAAGAAAACTCACATGCCACAAAGTAAACTTGCAAAAAAACAATGTTCTACAAAGTTCTCCCGCAGTGCTGTGCAGCTGTGCTGGCACGAGGAGCTGTGGTGACAGTCTGTGCCCTCACTTCTTGCAGTTATAACACCATGCTGGCCTGCTGGGAGACTGACCCCAAAGAGCGACCAACCTTCTCCGAGCTGGTGGAGACGCTGGGGGACCTGCTCCAGGCCAACGTCCAGCAGGTGTGTGCTGCCGACGCCTGGCCAAGACAGTGACGCTGACCTTAGACAGCCCCATGGCCACAGGGGCCAGAGGCAGGAGGTCTGAATGGCCGCCAGGTGCCTTTCTTTAAAGAATTTCAAAGGTGTGGTCAGCAAAGCTATTCCTGTAAAGATGGGGATGTATCTCATGTGCGGCTGGGTGCAATGATGATCTCTGCTCCTTCTCGCTCTGTCGCTTCATGGCTGTTTGAGTACGAGGGGAAGCATTCTGAACTGTGAACTCTAACATTAGCCATATCGCCCTGCAACTCACAACTGGCAGCCCATTGAAGCTCAGCAGGACAGGAGACTTCCTGTGAAAAACTAAGGTTGCAGCTGGAAGAGATGTTAGTGGGGCCAGTAGGGGGCGCTCACCCTCCGGACTGTGTGAGTCCTAATGCCCCAGTATAGAGGACACTATAATGTAAAAAGGTACTGTACTTCAGATGAGACGTAAAACCAAGGTCCCGATTCTCTGTGGTCCTTAACAATCCCAGGTTGATTCTCGAAAAGAGGGGTGTTACAGCGTCCTGGCCAAATTTCCCCTTGGCCTTTACCAATCATGGCCTCTTAATCCCCATCTGTGAACTGGCTTCATCACTGTGTTCTCCTCCCCACTGAGAGCTGGTGTGCGTGAGCGTACTGGCGCGCTCTGGCTGCCATCGCGTCTTCCACCTGCTCATTGATGGTGGTAGTGGGATTCCCCATTACCTGTAAGGCACACTGTGAGTGGAGTGCCCAGAAAAGCACTATATAAGTGTAAGGTATTAGTATTAGTGTTTACAGCTGCTGGCCCATCAGAATGGGGTGTGTCATTCCCCCTCTTCTCTCTCTTGTGGCCGGAGAGCAGGGCTCCAAAGATTTCCTAACCCCACACTGCACTCCTCCTCCTTGCCGCCAGTCTGGCAAGGTGACCTCTTGCCTGATTGCGAGTCGCACCCCCAAACTCTTTACTTGAGTGTGAACGTCAGGCTGCTGGGTCTCCCTCAGCCTCGCGCTCTGTGAAAGCCATGGGAAAGCAGCGGTCTTTTGTGGGCGAGAGGGCTGTGAAGGAGCAAGCATGTGTGCCGCTGCTGGGTTATTCTTACTTATTTCGTTACTTGTTCAACGGCCTCCCCTGTAGGATGGGAAGGACTACATTCCCCTGAACACCGTCCCGTCCCCGAACGGCGGCTCCCAGCGCTACAGCTCCTCCTCCACAGATCTGTCGGCTGGCGAGGACGCCCAACAGCCCCGGTTTAGCTACCAGAGCACTGGAAGTCTGGGGTAAGAGCTAACACAGACGAAACCTTCATGTGGAGTCGCCTCGCTCCTGCACTGAAACTCCGAAACCACAGACAACCCCAGAGTATTTCCTTTCACGTGTGCTGGCTGCTTTGCTTTTCTTATTGAATTTTTGCGGCGCACTGTAAGATGGAGGCTGGAGAATGGCGCACCACAATGAGCGACCCGCCAAAGACAAGAGAGGATCGGCGCATGATCTCGTCCTTCGGATGAGACGTAAAACCGAGGTCCTAACTCTCTGTGGTCATTAAAAATCCCAGGGTGTTTCTCGAAAAGAGTAGGGGTGTAACCCCGCCGTCCTGCCCAAATTTCCCCATCGGCCTTTATCAATCATGGCCTCCTAACAATCCCCCTCTGTGAATTGGCTACATTACTCTGCTCTCCTCCCCACTGATAGCTGATGTGTGGTGAGCGTTCTGGCGCACTATGGCTGCCTGTACCTGTAAAGTGCTTTGAATGGAGTGTCCAGAAAAAGCGCTATATAAGTGTAAGCAATTATTATTATTATTATTATTATTATTATTATCAATGGATCGGGGCAAAAATCTAGCAACCCACTGATCCTGCTGTGGTATACTTTGGATTTATACCCCAGTTCTTTCATTTTTAAAGCGTTTAGAGGCTTAGAGATACATCATTATATACAATAAAATATCTGATAACGGTACCCTATAAAATGCTCAGGTGATCTGGAGCTACAGGATGGAGGTACGTTTTTTAGATGAAATTGTACAGAGCATCTCTTTCCTCTTTTACTGGAGAGTGGCAGCTATTGGGTAAAGGTTCACATCACCCTCGTATAATAAATATTATAATAAATTCTTGCATGTTACAGAATGATCATGTATTGAGAACCTGGATAATGCTATATTCAATCTATCAATGAATTATAGGTACATCAACACCAGGAGAACTCAGAGTGTTAAGACATTTGATGAACTCTCTGTGAAGGACAGAACATTTTCCGATGTGAGTACATTGTGTTAAATCAAGAAGATGAAGTCACCTCCAGTGGCTTCTGTTCGTTGTGCCCTTTTTATTTTCTTTTATTTTTACAATGACATCAGCTCTAACACCATTAAAATAGCTGATGTGACTTCCTGTGATGAGCACAGGTCTACTGTGAGACCCAGTAAGTGTGGATCATTATTTTTAACAATTGTTTTACTGAACCACAAAGCAGAAAATGGTTATTTTCTAGCATGTCAACTAAGGTAGCTATAAAAACTCTCTGCTTTTTGCAGTCTATTCACAGAACTATTAAAAAGGCCAAACCATAATCTTGTTGGCCTGCCTTTTAAATTGTTTTGTTTTTTGGTTTGCGGTTATTAATATTCTGTTTAAGAGGCTTCAGTGGTAGAATGCGGTTCTATTCCTTTCCTCATTCTGAAGTTCTTGAGTGTCTTCTAATATGAGAAAAGACCCACGGGCACAAAACCTCCACGCTTGTGAGCACCGGCAACATGTTTGAACCCCAGACTGCAGAAAAATCTCAAATTCTTTTGTTCCGCGTCCCCACATTGCACTTCTGTAATGAGAGGACCTGCGAAACAGATCTATACTTGTACCTCGCTGTGCTTGGGGTGTTTTTCAGAAAGAGGTAACACTTCACTCATGAGAGGTATTGGTGATGGCGGTGCGCTCGGGCTCTGCCGCCCTCTCTCTGGATGTTCTAATCAGTAAGCGCCCTGCCTGCTGCGTTGGCTTTGATAAGCCTGTGTCTCTGGCAGGACTACCAGACGGACAGCGGCATGGTGTTGCCCTCCGAGGAGCTGCAGGCCCTCCGCTGGAGCTCCGGCAAGACAAGGCCGCTGTCCTCCAGCTGCGGGTGAGTGTGGCCCCGCAGGGGCCCTCCCCCGGCCCCCCACAGCCCCCCTGGCACGTGGTCCACTTGGACTCGGCGGACAGGAAGGCCTCTCTTTGCAGAACACACATCCGGATCCTTCCCCGCCGCTGGCCTGTGTAAACACCATCAAGGCGATAAACGCGCTCCTTCGCTATGGAGAAGAAATTCCGTCCAAGATTTTTTTTTTCCTCCTTCCAGTAGCCCTGACCTGTCTGAGAACGCTGCTTGTTTGTGAAGAGGAAGCATATTTTACTTAGCGTCACAGAGAGGAGAAAGGAGAGTTGGCCACGACTGTAGCCACCAAATCCTTCCTCTTCTTTCCTGTATCCTGCACTTTTACAGTGAAAGGATGGGGCAGTTGATAATTAAAACAGCCGTAAGCCTTCCTCAGATGAAGGGTTTTCATTTATTCCAGGCTCTGCTGGTATTAAGAGGGAGTGAGGGGAGCCAAGATATTTGTAACCCCCACAGTGTTTTTTCTGAATAACACAGGGGGCAGTACCGAACAAAATGAATTGACCTGATGTAATCTTGCATTTAAAAAACAATGCAACTAACGATGGCAATTTCCGATGTTTCTGAAATAGAGCAAGATTTCCAAAAATAGCTATTTTGTTATCACAGGAAAACAGTGGTCACAGTGACCATTAATTGCCTCCCTCTCCCTCCACACATATTGGCTCACGATCCTCACAATGATTTTGACAGCCTTCCAGCAGTGTAGTAAGAATAATCCTGTAAAACCCAGAGGTGAGCGAGGACAAGGCCCAAGACTCTTAAGAAAAAGTGCCTTTCTAGCTGTAATATTGTAGCCGTATTGGGTTGCTGATCAAAAAGGTAGTTTTGGGGAAGAAAGAACGAGGAAATGTACTTGTTCTTCCTCTTGTAATAGAAACCGTGTGAAAGAAAGACAGCCAGGTGTTTTGTCTGTTGCAGTGGATTGCTGTCAACCGAGTGTGTGTGTGTCTGTGTCCTGTAGTTTCAGGGCGGTGAGTAAGAGTCGTGAGTCGGTGCCGTCTGCAGTGGTGAGGCCCAGCGTGTACAGCGCCCCCTGTGGCCACAAAGGGGATGACCTGCCAATTTTCTCCTGTGGCAGCGACTATGAGGAGCCCTGCTGCTCAACCCCTCCTCCAGACTACAACTCTGCTGTCTTCTACCCCCCGCTATAAAACAAAGAGGGGGTGCGCCTCTCAGACTGCAGGATTCCAAACCATTGCGCGTTTTCAGAAAGGTTCTTGAACCTGTGTTTTCTGGGACTTTATAACTTCAATGCAGCTACTAGTGTCAAAGTCCATCTCTGTAGTCCTTTAAATGTGTAGTGGACTTTTGTCTTTTTCTCATGTTATTGTTTTATTAACTGCTGTATATTAATTCCATTATTTTCCAATAGTCATGCTGCTGGGTTGGTTGCAGGGAAGTTCAGTTCCAGACCTGAAAGGTTGCAGAAATGGGCTTCTCGTTCTTTGACTCTTTCACTCTGATGTCCAAATATATGGGCCATCTGTCATGTTTGTAAAACGTTCTGGCATGTTGACATTTATCCAGACACCAAAACATTTCTCTTGCACAGTTCTGAGAGATGCGAGTGTTGCTGAGAACGTGCCAGTAGTTATGCCTCTTGCTGTGTAGCCGATACAAGGCTCAAGGGTTTTCTGAAAGTGACAATATGAGGAAAGAAAGGAGAACTGGGCAAATAATTATATTTTGACTGTGGAGCAGGTAGGTAGTGGAAAGACATCAAATTGTCTTTGTAGAGGACATTGCCAACAGCTTGGTATCAACATGACCAGAATTGTGACAAAAAGCTTCACATTTACACAAGCAGTATAGCAAGACTTTATTTTAAAATTTTATAATAGGATATATATTAACTTTGAATTGACTACTAATTAAAGATTGTGCAGCTCTTTTATTACATAAGCATGTGAGTCAAACAACAGGCCTGACTGCTAAATTATTTTTTGGCAACTTTTGTATTTTTTTTTTATTTGATATAAGTCTGTATTTTGAAATGCTGTAGGGAAAAAATCAACCAGTATTATGTATTGCAAAAAACATATTTATTTTAAAGTGTTATTTAATTAAATGTTTAGAGACAGAATGCTATGCATATACATTGTAACTATCTTGCTAACACTGGAAAGGGTCACAGAGGTCAGGTGTAACTTGCAGTCTGTGGATCCACTCAAAGTTGTAAGTGGACAAACTGGAACATTTTTTTTTCTTCATTGTGTTACCCCCAGCTCATCTGTAGTGGTGCACTTGTCTTCTAGCCTTCCCTGAGAACAATGTGCAGCCCTTAAATCAATTTAAACATTTGTACAGTGTAAATCTGAACTGCTGTGTGTGTGCAGTCTTTGGTGTACACTGTGATCTTTGCAGTTAGACCTTCCTCCTGTGGTCTTTAAGCCTAAATACAGTTTAGCATCAATTAACCTCACACCACTTTCAAGTGTTTTAACTTTTTGGTTGGTTTGGCATGTCTCCTGCAGGGCGTAGGCCACAGATTCAAAACTCTAAAATAATACCAGATAGCTCGTACATTGTGTCTCATAGGAATGAGAAGAGCTCATCTCAATTCAGGATTGTACCCTGTATTAAACTTCGCGTAATCAGGGTTCAATACAACTTTGCAAGCGATGCTTCTTTAAAGTTCTCAAGATATTACAAAATAAAAAAACATGGGGAATTTATTGCATATTTCAATCCACCCACACACAACAGTATAAACTAGAATCAAGAATTAACATGAGACTTGAGTGGGGAGCTGCATCAGGACGAGAGCTGCAAAGGAACAGGTGATGGGCTAATTCCACACCGAGAAGCAAAAACAACCGAGTGCGAAGCTTTCTTCACGGCTGGAATGCTGGGCACTTTTCTCTTTTACTACGCAGAGCGGAATTAGCCCTTGACTTGTTTGTTTTGGTTTTAATGAGGGCCAATGCTTCTACAGGCCCAGGAAGTTTACTGCGGGCATTAGTCCATGCAAGACTGGCTTGGGTTCGTGCTCCCAGCTGGAATGCAGGGTATGACCGGGTGGACCACGAGGACTACTCTGCCATACCAAGGTTACTGACGCTCCCCACATTGTTACACCAGTACTCCTGGCTGTAATAAGAACTGCATGAAAAGCAAATGTACCAGGGGAATGAAATGTACTCCATCGTTTACAGACTATTCTAAAAAGTCCATTCAAAATGATAAGCTAATTTGCTTTTGTGCTTGCCTGATGAGTCAATAATAAGGTATTCAATAACTATGAAGAGTCAAAAGATATTCTGTGGCACACAAGGAAAAGCAGTGCCCATATTCAGTGGCACTAGTCATAGGGACAGTGCAGACTGCAGAGACCAGGGCTTGATTGCACTCCTCATCAACACTTCTTCCTAAATATTTGAAAAAGCTGGAGTCGCATTAAAGTGTTATTCAATCTAAATGATCCGAATGATTTCGTTAATGAGCCAATTATTTTGTGAAGTGTGTATTTGGCTTAGAATCTGTCTTTAAGTGACACAAAATATTAAATATGTACCTCGCGTGATGGTTACACACATTATTCCGAGACAAGACAGCATTTAAAACAAAAAGACAAATATTTTGGTATTCTTTATTAAAATACTGCTGTACACACAAATATTGCAAAAGTGAGTGACACTGAAACACAAGAGGAGCCATGATAGTGAGCTGTGTATTGGAGGTCAGAGAAAGGGGCAAAACAACGCGCTTTCCTAAATCAAAACCTTGACCAACAGGTGGGCATTTACCCAACTCCTTATACCAAAGAAAATAAGCATTTACTGTATAGGGACACATAAATGCATGTTCCTAAATACCAGCCTATCCATTTTGATAAATGCATACAATATTTATTTTCTTACAACAGCTTTGTTTGCTCATGTCTGGGTCTTCAGATAAACAATACGTGTAAATAACATGTGCTCTGTATGCAGCACAAAACTGCTGAGTCCCCCCTACCCCCCCCCACCCCCCGAACACACTTAAAAGAGCAAAAGAACTGTGGGTGAAATTAATACAATTTATGATCATGGATACCCTGGTTCTGGAGTTGAGCATTACTGAATACTAAACTTACAAACAGTTACAAAATTATTTTCTTAGAAAACACCCCCATGAGAACTCCTTATTTTAGTGGGAGCAGTGTGTACCGCCTTACAGCCCGATTCAGAAACTTAGCAGGGCTGAGCCTAGTCCGTGCTGTGCTGGGAGACCTCTATGCAAAATCGGATTATTGCTGCAAGTGCTGATGGTGTACCAGCAGGTGGCGCTCTTTCCTCTGAACCTGTATTTCCGAACAGCCCATCACGGTGACTGGGGTCGGTGGGACTGCTCTTGACTACGGTCCTGTCACATAGTCATTTAAGATCCTGTAACAATTTTTGTTTCCTTTGAAAGAATAATGGCGTTTAGATGGGCATGCTAGCTAAACTTCAAGTTGGATTACAACAGCTCGGTTCATTTCACACTTCCCCCACCTGATCAGCTCTGTAGGAGGGGTGCAGCACATTAGGGGGGGTTGCACTTCAGAGAAAAATAACATGGGTCCCCTTCTACACACAAAGTGCTTGGGAAGGAAGAGTATTACACCAATGCAAGCAATTTTTAAAATCAATGCTCACGAGAAAACACCCAAGGCCACCGTAGATTGAAAGCACATTTTTTTTAACCCCCATCCTGCTGTCCGGAAGCGACAAAGCTCTAGTAATCTGTGGAAGAGGACTTTGCCGGCCTCGTTGGAAGGCAAACCACTTCGTCAATACAGGAGCACTGAAGCAGCCTTTCCCACAGGGAGGAAAGCTACATGCTACCGGCATAGAGTCAGGAAAGCACCACGGAAGAGGCCGCCTTCAACAGCTGAAGGAGCAGGGAAGCAGGGCTTGAACGAGTCACTTCTCATCTTTTTTCCCCCCCCACAATGCTTCGAACTAAGTCCCCTTCAACCGAAGTCGTGGCGTGAAGCCGGGATTCCTCATGCCCCGGCAAACTGTGCCGCACGGAGCAGCGAATGCAGGAGGTGTAATCTGACAGCAAGAACACAACCGGATAAAAATACCCTTGTGACTGTGGCTTTAAGAGTTACACACAGAACACAAACAAATATAACAACTAAGACTGCTAATGAAACAGGAGGTTCATTTATAAGGGAGTGAACCGCCCCAAATTCAAAAGTAGCAAATAAAGCCCCCCCCCACCCCACCCTTCTCTGAAATCACACTATACATGCAGCACCTATTCCTGACGGTTTTCCCTCATCTCATTTCGGAAGTGCACATATAGTTTTAAAACATCAGATTCAATTAACAACCCACCTGCAGGAATTCCAGCTGGGAGGGTATTTTGACTGGTTAAAGTCTATGCCCTGGATTTACACCACCTTTCCAACTGTTTAAAAAAAGTTCCACTGCTGTAAATATTGGTCCACAAACTAATTTTATGAGCAGGCAAAATGCCCATACAATCACACACACATGATCCCCTTACTGTCTGTAAAGAGATTACGGAAACAATTGTCTTGCTTGCTCGGAAATTAAGCAAGTGTCCTTTACTTTCTTCTAGAATACCAAATGTTTCTTTATATAAAATAATTACAATGTGATTTGTCAAAAACATACAAAAAAACAGCTGCTCTTCTGCCAAATAAAGACGCCGGTGATAAAAGTCGGTTCTGCTTGATCTTTTAAAAATCCTGGTTTTCAACGTTTCTTTCTTCTCTTCAGTAACATCCTGAAAGAAGGGTGATTTAAGTATTGTCCAAAGTCAAATATCTATACAGAATATCCAAAATTCCAGATTGTTTTATCATATTCAACAACCAGTGCTACCAAAACCAAACCTGAACACATCTCAACGCAAAAAGCATCTTCAAAAGTCGGAAATAATAAAAAATAAATCTCCAGTCCACGTTATATTCTTACAACTTATTAAAAAAAAAAAATCACAAGAGCAATGCAACCCTAAGAACTTGTCCAGAAAAAGAACTGCAGATTGAACACCATTGACTGCAAGTGCTGAGAATGGCCATTTCCACAGAGACAGCCTGGAACCTCGTGACAGGGAAACGGAGCAGGGGGTAGCATTCAGTGCTTGGAACAGGGTCCGAGTCAGGCTTTATTTTCTTTTTTTGCTTTTATATTGAGAATCTCAGTGGTCTCGAACATCCAAGGAGTTCATACAATGCAGCAGAAAACAGCCTGTCACCACAGGACAGGTCGAGCTGAGCTGGAGTCCAGCCTGAACGCAATACTACATGGAGGTGATGCAGAGGAGTCCCGTGAGCCGACTGAGGTCACTTTCTTGTAAAGGAAGTAAAAAATAAAATTTTGGTGACTCCAAAAAAAAAAAGGCACAGCTGACCATAAATGACACGGGTTCTGCAGTTTCCTCTTTCTGCAGAAGAAAAGCAGACTGCTGCTGGATTCACAGGCCATCTCCAGGGACTCGCATGTTGGTTTTACATCCAGTGTAAAAGGAGCCTACAAACAAAACCCCGCTGCAGCTTCTGAAGATTTTAAATGCCGAAATCAATTCAAAGGACAGTACTTTCAGCACATCTGGCGTCTACGTGACTGAAGGAAAAAAAAAAAGGCTTGCATACACAGAAAGTCCGAAAAACTGAGATAAGTGACAATAACACTCGGAAATCTTTTAAAAAATGCGCTGGTGTTTATTTTCCAATCTGTTGCCAAAGCTAAACACCTCCCTCTCCCACCCACCCAGCCCCACCCCCAAAAAATAAAATCCTTTCTTAAGAGTAGAGAGTGCCGTCACTCCTCTCCAATTTGAACAACTTCGAAAAAGCACATTTCTGTATAGCACATTCTACATGTTTCACTGAAGACATCTATTTGGTTTCATCCTAGACAGTCTATGGAGCTGATCAGATACATCCCTCACTAACAGCAGTTCTAATGAAAATGCAGTCACTGAGACAGAGGAATTACACACCTGGTCCTTACAGTTCTTTAGGTGACTCATAAAAAAAAAAACTGCTGTTCAGTTACTTCTTCAATTAAAAGAAGGACAATATAAAAGGTTATCCATATTGATCTTTTTTCCTCCTCTAAGGTCGATTTTCCCTTACTTACACCGCGTGGCAAAACCTCAGAGATCACACAGAAGAGTATCTTTAAAAAAATTAAAATTTTAGTGCATTGACCACTTGGAAAAAAATAAAAGAAGGAACATTATCTGTCTGGTTTTGTGTTCCCCATCTAAAAAAAAAACGTCTTCACAGCCAACCCGTTCAAAATTGTAGCTGTAGGCTATATTTACGAAAATAAAGATTCAATTTAAAAAAAAATCCTTCTTCACAAAACAGTGTACCTGACTGAAGTGCAAGCAGCGACGCTCATCCCCCATTTATGTTGTCTCAAAAAAGGAAAGGTGAAATGAGATGACTTGTTCAGCTGTAGTGCAATTTGCTATTGTTTTTAGTTCCTTGGTGAATTCCATCATGATTCCAGCAAATACTACAACTGACCGTTCGCAGCTGCCAGGAGTTCCTGAAAGGTATTGTCAAAGCACCGCTTCAAATCCGCATAGGTCACCACCAGGATGCTTTTCTCATCGCGGGACACCAGGTTGATTTTCTCTGGCACACCAGCATCCAACTGCAAAAGGAACATGGACAAAATGGGGCACAACACTCAGCAGATATGCAAAAAAAACCCACAACAGATAAATCGGTTATGGGGTGTTATGATGCCGTTTTAACTTCAGCATTGAAGTTTAACCCTCCGGGCATTCTTGGGAAGTCTTCCTGACCACGGGGGAGAAACACGTACAGCATTTCGGGATTTACTCGTCTGCTGTGTCTCGTCATTTGTTTCTTCGAAAGCTTCGATAATCTTTTTGTCTTTGTGGTCCAGCTCGTTCCTGGGGAGGCTTTTGGACAGGGGTAGTTACAACATCCCCAGAAGGTACCGGTGACATTCAGCAAGATTCTGGAGAGAGGGTGACTGGGAGGCGTTACCTTGTTGAGGCAGGAAACGATGTGACTGAGGTCGATCCAGGGAGAGCCCGTCTCAGTCACCTGGTGGAAGAGGTGGTCTCTGAAGAGCTTCAGCAGATAGCGGTCTCCTGTCTCGGACCAGGTGGGGTCCTTCTGGAATCTAGGCAGAAACACTTTTGAGGAACACAAAGCCTCCCCTGTTGGCTACCAATAAAAGTCACAGCACTCAACATCTACTTTAAAACATGCTGAGCTCTTTTGCGTTACAGGCCCACCTTGCTTAAATACACTGCACAGTGCAGTACCTGACAAATAAAAACTAACTTTCAGAAATCTAGCACATATATTCGAAAGGGAACTTTTTTCATTGCCCCCGTTTTTGAGAAACTACAGCATTGAAAACTGTCTTAGAAAGCACGGGAATCTCGGAGAAAGAACGTGTTGCTGAAAAGGGGGATAAGCTCATTCAATTTTTAAAAAACCCCAAAAGATACTCTTCAAACCACATTAAAACGAAGGATTTAGAAAAAATGCTTATCAAGTGTTAGGACATTTTCACACATTACATCAGTTTAACAGCTCTTACTCTGGCCTCTCATTAATTGTTCCCAATTTCGCAAGCAGTCGGAAAAGACGCCCGTTTTGCACCTCCTAAGAAAACAAGAAGACTCTGTTAGCACACAGCTAAAGATAGGTACAGCAGTGCTCTTACAGCCTGCAAAAATGCACTTTATGATGTATGAAAAGAGAAATGTTTTCCTGGGGTTGTCTGCTGCATGTTAACCCTATGACCGTGTAAGAGAAGAACAAAATGTAGATAAAAAAAACCACCAGAACTCCATTTTTACTTCTTCAAACACCCTAAGACACGGTGCGCCTTGTACATTGTTTTTTCAGGCAGCTTCTCTCGCATGAAGATCCTCTTTTGCGACAAGACGAAACTCAGTTTTCACAAACGCACTGGACAGATGGCCTGTGTGGAGGGGTGACAAGCCCGGGTGGTCAGAACTGGGTTAACATCTCTTTCTTCTGGCAGAAGTAAAGAACAGAACAGGAAGCATAAATAAAGATCCTGTCGAGGTCCTGCAGTTCTTAGAAGCTGATAAGATATTCAGTGGCTATATGCAGCACTTAAAAAAACAAAACAATCAAGAACAAACCCAAAATATCGTTTTGACATTTTGCACTTCCTCCTAACGCCCCTATGGAACATTCAAGCTGCACTGAGAAGTGTATTACTACTGTACCACCTGAGTCAAACATCAGCATGAGTGATGTAAATCTGTAGCTGAGTAGCCATGTAAGCAAATGAATAACTTAGTCAAAGCATAAAAAATAAAATGACAGTTTTCGTGGTTGATGAATGATGATCATTCATTTGAAGTTATAAGAAATGCTGACAATATATTCACAAAGATTGAAATAACATGGTGTAGGGAAAATAAAAGGCCCAGAGCTTGCATGTTATTGCTTTTGCATGTTTTTGAAGAGTAAAAAAACTTCATACCACATGCATGGTATGTTTTTGTGAGAAAACATTCTCTGCCCCTTTCACAGATCTTCAGAGACTGGTCATGCAAGGCTTAGAAATAGTGTCTCGACCAACAAGCTGTACACAGGGGTGTTCTTTGAAGGCAGAAATAATCTGCATTCTCTATTACTGACTCTAAAATATTTGATTAACGTTACATATATAATAATAGGATTGTATATATTATAATCTGTAGTGTCCATAAATCTGAGAATCCTTCTTGCTGGGCAAGCCAGTGAGAAAAAACACCACAAATATAACATCTGTCAATCAAGCTCTCCCTGCAGATATTATATATTGAGCGATGTGACCATGAAATCTACACCTCCATATAATCTTCCATAATCCACAAGTTTTTCCAGTCTTGAAATTGTTCTCTCAAGACCATTCTGGACAGCTGACTCCTCTCTTTGCCCAGTAGAAAACGATGGGAGTTCTGGGGATGTTTGGTGACATTTACCTATGCACTGGCTTACTGTCACGTTTGAGGAATGTGCCTAGTCTAACTCATGCATGTCAGCTCTCAGGCGGAAGCACATGAGATAACCACCAGGAACTGGGGCTAACCTTAAAACAGAAGCTCACGTGTGTATAGTGAAAGGTTCAAAGCATTCTAATTTAAGGTTAACTGTAACCCATTCTGAAAAACCAAAATACTTTAAACATATAACAAACATTGCAATCAAAACTATTTAGAGCTTGTGTTCAGCCAGTCCTAATTAAAAAGGGTGGAGTTATTAATTAAAGTCCTACTTTTTATAGAGGACCTCAGGTCATAACTTCTTTACCAACACTGTCCAGTTGTTTCAGAAGACAATTTCTCATTCACACCAGGTCTAGCGTCAAAGCGTAACTTTGTGGTTTGTTGGACAGTAGTGAAGCAGTTCTGAACTGTGCACACCTTAAACAATCTTTATCATATCGCCGCTTCATACTAAACATAAAACACAAGGCTTAAACTTTTCAAGCACGTTCAGTCCTTTAGAGGACTAGTTTACCTTGGCCAAGTCTTCCTCAATTACATCATTTCTCATCTGAGAGGCGTCCAGTTGGGTGTAGAATCTGGCCCCAATCATAGGCATGATGTCATTGACGCTGCGCAACCTGTTCTGTTCTGTCAGCAAGTACCTGGAACAGGCCGTTCAGCATGAGCTTTCAGCTTTGCACAAAGACACGTAAAACACATCCTCGCACCACAAGGCCACACAGTTATAAATCAAGCTTAATTTGCCATGGAACAGCTCCAAAACTTAAAGAAAAGCCCAGTACAAGCTGGGACGCCAAAACTTCATGCTTTACATTCTTACAAGAGTTCATGGTTACAGATCCACTATCATTGGTGCTACAGACTGAGCTGCTCACATTAAATAACCTTTTTAAACAGGTACACGTACAACTACGCAAAAAAAACATTTAAAAATGGGAAAATTGTGTGCATGTATAGCATATGTCATTTTAAAACTGTGCTAATAAAAATGTGAGATGACAATAAAATATACACAAAAAATATAAAAATGCTGGGAGACGACAATAAAAAGCCAAGACTTACAGGATTAGGTTTTTTAAATCCGAGGAGTAATTTATTGAAACAAGCTCCATAGCTTTTTGCAGATTTTCCCTTTGGATTCCTGCCAAAGAGTTACAAGCTAAAGCTAATACGACTTTGCCCAAGGACATGAGATCTGCTTGCTGTTAAAGACAGGGAGACAAATAAAACCACGGGAAATAAATATTAGCACTTGCAAAACCCCAATTTCTTAAAAATACACTTCTAGAAACATAATAAGCTGCTATCTCTAGTGTAAAATTTCATCAGTGGCATTTCTTCTAAAGCAATGTTCATTGTCCGTCATGCTTACAAGGTATTAAATAAACCTGTTAATAAACTTGTTTCAGGAGCATCAAACTTCTTCTTAAACGCCTGTGAAATACTAAGTCATGCACATTTAAACATCTGAAGTAATGACAGGACGTGTCAAATACAACCTGAAAAAAGCTGCTAAAAATGAGATCTGTCCAGAAGCATGAGGTTACCTGATATTGTGCCATCAATGCCAACGGGTTTGTCTGACTGTTGTCAAATGTTAAGACGTCCAATATTCCAACACAATTCACTCGTAACCTTAGGGAGAAAAGGTTTTCAGATAAAAGGACATCATGAATTCAAACTGTCCCTTAAAACAAATCAAGCCACAGTGGATTTATAGCAACTGCATCCTTTTAGTAGAATATTAATATACAACCTTCTACAACTCACAGATTTTTCACACATAGAGATCTTAACATAAATAACTTTCTTAAATATTAATCCCATAGTGACTGCTGGGAAACATAGCTGTGGACCTCTGCTAGCACTGTCACTGCAGACGTACTGTACCGTAGGCTCTTATAAAAATCTGTAAATTCCATTTCCAACAAGCCAACCAGCAGGTGGAGATATAATCCCCGTTTAAAGAACTACAAGGCAACGCCAAAAAGCTCCAACTGACTGATAAATCTGCTTGGCTTTACGGTCTTCAGTTCCAAATCCACTGCTGAAGCTTTTTATGCAACAGCGTTAACCTCCTGAGGTCGGCTGTCCCAGGGGAGGGGGGGAATCCGTCTTGTGGCCGAAACAAGACGTAGGCTTGCGACGCAATGCCGGGCGCGGGAGGAAAGGCGAGGGAGAGCGCGAGACGCCATCAGGAGCCGCACCTGGTCTTTCCTGTGATGAGGATCTTGGTGGGGTCCATAACCCTGCAGGCCAGGCCGGCGGTGTGGATGGTGCGCAGGGCGGAGCTGAGCTGGACGATGTAGGCCCAGATCAGAGACTCGGGCAGCAGCCCTGCGTGCTGTCGAGGGAGAGGTCCATCGTGCTGCCCTGCTGGGGGAGAGACCAGGCGCGTGACGCAGGGGTCCGCCACACCGAGCATGGCACTTCGCTCTCCCACTAAGCTGCACTGCGCGAAGCAGAGCTGTGCCGCGGCACTCCTCACGCGCACCCAAGTCTGCCTTTGCAAGATAAAAGGCATTGTAGGCGACCACACAAGTCTGGGACACAGAGAAAAGCTCAACCGATGACTTCTCTTTTCCAGCACTTCAGGGAAGTTGCTAATGAAGCCCAGGCTATAAACGTAAGTGATGAAAGTGCACGGTTCTTAAAGCATTCTTTCAAGCAAAGTACCATTTATGATGGTTTTCTGTTAATTCTAAACAGGCAGCAGCTAGAATCCCAAAAACCTGGGCTTGTGTACTAAAGCACCAGATTCTAAAGAAGACTTGACTCCATGGATTTTATCAACAAGCACCTCCGGGAAATCTGTCTTGTTTCCTGCTTCCCCACAGACCACCGCTCTGCACTCCTATGTCAAAAAACAGACCACCACCTTCGATGGATAATTCCTGGTCCAACCGCATTTTATCATCTTTGCAGAGATTTACACAAAGAAAGCGTGATACTATTCCTGTACCAAGACATGTTAGAGGGGAAAAAAGAAGCTGGAAAAAGCTGCCTGCGAAGTGGTGTGTCTCCTGACTGGCACGAGGAATGTGGCACAATGACAGGACAAGAGGAACACGTGACCTGCAGTCCACAGTGATTTCCACAGTTTACCGTTACAGGTTTATTTAAAAAACTCAACCTGAACTTTAGAAATGAATTCTGCAAGAATTTCAGACAAAAAAAGATGAACTACACAACTAAACTAAACCTAACTACGAATAAAAACACTCTCAGCGCAGGGGTGATGGTGAAAGACTGTCCTCCCCCCAACACAATGAAACAAAACGAAAGTTACACACCATTCGGGAAAAAAAACGTATGTGCCTGATGAAAACTAGAAGTAGGAATAAGACAAAGAGGATGCAAAACAGAAAAACAACATGCACCAAAAATGTTAGGATCTTTTCTTGTAAAATAGGCAGAAAAGCCCCTTTCCCACCCCCCCAAAAAAAAAACGGTAAATTAAAAACAAACAGCAAAAAAAGACTGGCAGCAGAGAACAGGATGCGACTGGAGAGGCCACCCCAACAGGTGTCTGGAGCAAAACAAAGCCAATTGCACTTCTGGTCACCCGCTGTCAGCATAAAAGCCTTTTACCACATCCCTTTCTGCACCGACACACCAAGGGGTGGACCTGTGAACTTCATGCCAAGGAACAGAACAGTGGCCAACCACACCGTCCGGCCAAAAAGGGAGTAGAGGCATGCAAACAGGACAGGCTACTTTCGAAAAAGCTCTGGTAACGGCAACCATGTTGCAGAGACTTTCGCTTGTGTACAACTCCCCCCCACACGTCCACAGAGAGCAGGAGGCTCACTTCCTCTTCTCCGTCCCCTGGTTCGGTGCTGGACCCCAATCGATATGTCCACAATACCATAAGAATGCTTAGTTTCGACCAAGGTTTCCCCTTTCACTACTGGAAAAAAAATAAAACGAAACTGCGCGCTTGTCTCAAGCAGGTGAAGCTTTGGCACGAAAAGGGAGGCTTTGTGCAGAACAAAGGCCCAAAAGAGGCGCCTTTAAATGTCACAGCCGACAGCCAGTGCTTTTCTTTTTACTGGCCAGCCCCGGGAGCCCTCAAAGTTACTGAGCGCAAACTGCTCGCTTCGTTTGATCACAAGCGTTAATAAGCTGGTGGTTTACTTACCCCATTTCCTTTTCGTGAAATAGGAGTCGGCGCTGGGATCGTTAAAGTGCCTGCTGTACATGGTCTCCGCACCAGCATGGAAGTCGTAGGCAAACACGAGAGCTGCAGGCAATAGGGCAACAGGTGAGACAGCAGCTACTGTCCGACTTCAAAACAACCGCCCTCTTCCTCACAAAGAATCACCCACACGCCAGACCCAAAGGCCAGTTGATGCCTTCGGACCACACAGTCTTTTACAAGTCTGAATAGATGCTGTCTTGCAAGAATAAATTCAAGTCATGCAATAACAAAAGCAAAAAAAATGCATGCCCTGCAAGTCCAATTGAAAAAAAATATATAGTAATAAATAGTCAATTTCACACAAAACAGTAAATTAATGGACCTATATCACTATTTCATTGAGAAAGTGTGATGTATACCTGATAAAATAGCATTGTTGCAGGGAACATTATTAATGGAAAATTAAAACACTAATTCTGGCCATTGAAAACCTGTGGACAGCACTGGGAACTGAGAGACTGTCTTTAGATTCCAAGGCACTGCATTCATAGCTGGAGGCAAGAGCATGACCACAGAACACAGCATCCACCATCCCCCAGATTAACGCAGGAGGAACTGCTTCTCACATCAGTACAGTAACTGGGCCTTTCAGCTACTGAAATGACTCAGTTTGCACCGCCCAAAAACCCCATTGAACTCGTGCAGCGGGCCGTGATGCTCACAGTGATCTCCGAACGCTTTGGTGGTGAACACCTCTCGCAGCGTCACAAAGTTGGAATGCTGAATCTTCTTCCACATGTCCACCAGGACCATGCACTTCGTGTTCACGAGCCTAAAACCTGAAAACACAGGCGTGCACAGGGTTATCACAAGTGGTCACCAGGGTGCGCTGATCAAACAGGTCTTCCCGGACCCTCTCTCCACTGACACTCTACAAAGATACAACACGACACATGAAAATAAAACTGCAGCCACATTAAGAGCCTCATTATTATTTTCCTTTACGCTGGAGGCAGAGAAAGCTAGCAGCAAAGACATTTAAAATTTAACCCCTGTGTTCCCATTGATCTTGGTTTGCTTTTAAAATACTTACCCAAGATAAATGAAATTATGGAATATTATTAAGACCTCTGTTTTTTTCTGTAATGGAGAATTATAATTTCAAGCAGGCCAGCCGTTTACTTGAAAACATACATTTGAATATATGCAGCTGCTGCAGGAACTACCCTACACCTGTAGTATGTGGGTTTAGAGGGAAAATACTGCAGATTAAGCCGCTAATGTGGACATGTACTGAGATAAAACACCAAACAGGCAGTGCATTGCCGTGCTGAAGCCAACACGTGCGGAACGTGTACAGCAGATAACGTCACATGGAGCAAGAGAGTGGCATCTCTTACCGTGGATTCTTCGAAGGCAGTAAGGCAGGTCGTCTTTGCTGTTCACAGCTTTGTAACAGGACGTGATGTAACTGAAGTTGCTCGTTTTCTGGAGGCGGTTTGGGGGAGGCAGCGGCTCCAGGGGAAACAGGCTGTGGTAGCTGTCCACTTCAGTCGGGACCCCTGAGCAAAACAGTGGGGAGAGTCAAGCCCAGGCGCGCCCACTTCCAGCGGCTGCAGTTAATTCTGCCGCACGTTCCCAGTAACGCGTTTCGCCAACGGTCAATCCGGGGGAGGAGCGGACCCGGATTCTTAATGCCTGGGGACAATGGACTAATCTTCACCCCCGAACCAGTGTTCAAAATACCAGAGCTCCCTGGTATCAGCGGCACGGAGCTCACGGACTACAGGAGAGCTGTTGGGGAGTAAACCGCAGCACTTCACGGAGAACTCATCTCAGCCAAGAGCTCCAGCAACTCGGGTGGAGAATAACACGCAGACTGACGGAAAATTTGAAAAGCATTTGCTCAGACAATCTCATCTATTCTCTAAAAATTCAAACCGCAGACTAGACTGAAAGCACTGCTGCTAGCATCGCTCTGCCAGCAGCGGGGGTCTCACAGGGAAGAGGTGAATTCCCCCCCCCCAGTACCTTATAAACTTCAGACACTTGACTGACTTGGGCAGTGCCCTTCAGGATTTTGGATACGTAGGTCAGGTCCCCTTGTAGTCGCGTCAAAGTCGGAGCAGGGCATTCCTTTAAGACCAGGAACACACTTGTTTGCTCCTCTCTGGACTGATGCCCCAGCAACGATATTGTTTTCGCAATATTGTACACAATATTCTTGATAAGGTCTTTTGCTAGATTATGCAGTGTTGAAATTGCATTAATTTTTTTTTAATCACATCTTAACACTGTGTCTGACTTTTTTTTTTGCTTCCTTACACTGTAAGCAGAAAATGTCAAAATATACAACTACAATCTTTTTCACAGATCGCTTCTTCAAGCTCATTATTTCCCGTTCTAAGTTTGCAGTTTATGCTTCTGCTATCTGCATGCGACACTTCACACTCGTCTACATATGAGGTCATCTGCCAGGTGTTCGCTCAGTCTTCAATTCTACTTTTTGCATCTTTTTTGCAGCTTGCATCTGATTTCGCTGTCACTCACAAGCCTGATTAGTCTACCATTGAGGAATCCCACTCGTTAGAGTAAATTCAGAAGAGCAGTGGTCCTATAAATCACCACAATCTAAGCATTCACCTTTTATTTGCACTCAACATCGGCAAATTTAATATTCGCAAACTGGCTTATTCGGCCTGGCTGACGGGGTCTCGTATGGAAGGAGCTGAGCGGGGTGAAACCGAGCCGAAG